TCTCTCTCTCTCTCTCTCTCTCTCTCTCGTCAGGACTGGCCAGTGTCCTGCCCCCCAGATGAGCCCCTCGACCCTCCTCGGTGTGGGTCGGCAGCATCCCTGCAGGGCATGGCCCAGTCAGAGGACTGAGGCTGGCCACTACAGCTCTTCTGACTCTGCTCATGGTGGCTGCCCAGCAGGGGCTGCAGTCCCTCTCTGAGTGGACCCAAGCAGGTCTCTGTCCACGCTGGCTCTCGCTGACTGCTGCCTTCCCTCCCCAGGCATTATGACATTCGGAGAAACGATGACATTGTCAACTTCTTCAATGACTTCAGTGACCACCTGGCTGAGGAGGCCCTGTGGGAACTCTCTCTGAAAATCAAACCCAGGAACATAACGCGGAGAAAAACAGACCGAGAAGAGAAAACCTAGGACCGGGTGTGGGAGCGAGGAGACGCTCGAGAGAGGTGCAGCGGGCCGCTCCGAGGCCGCACAAGACTTTGGACCTGGCGCAAGGTGGCAGCCCTGTCCCCGATCAGGCTGCAAGTGTCCGGGCCTCGGAGCCCCAGGCCCGGCCCGGCCTCTGGTGTGATAGGCGAGGCTGGAGTCGAGCCTGCTGGCAGCTGTCCACCTCCCTCCTCGGAAGGAGCAGACCCTGTGGCCCACAGAGAGCCCACTGGGCTGGTGTTAGACTGATGTTGTGAACTGGTGGTTTCCTGCATTTTCTAAGTATTTTCTTTCATTTCTACCCTCCCCTCCCCTCCAACACCGCACGCCAGCCTGGGAGCCACACAGCGATGGCAGCAGCAGTAGCTCAAGGCACAGAGGCCGAGGGTGCGGAGGGGCCCCGCTTCCAGCCGCCCTCCGGATGAACTAGGATGGAGGGAGCCTCAGAGTGGGCCAAGAGCGGGGAGGACACCGGGAGATCCCTTTCATTCTAAAATAGCGGCCGGGAGAGCTCTCGCCAGCCCCAAGAGGTACTGCTGGACTTCCCAGCAGCCCCCTTGATGGTAGTGGCCTGGGACCCTCTGCTGGGCGGTGAATCTCCACCCTCTTGTACTTTAGTCTTCCCCCACCGCTCCGCTGGGACGACCCCCTGACCCTGAGAGCTGACAGTTTTTCATCGCCACTTCCCCTCAGAGAAACCATACCTCGGAGAGTCCAGCTTTTCTGAACGGGCAGCAGCCCAAAGGAGAGACACCCCCCCAGAGCCCTCTGTACCGGCAGAGCTCATGAAACCCCTCTTCTGTTGCATCTGTTGCTTGCTGTGTGCCTTAAACTCCCCTGTGCCCTGCACCCTGGCCCACAGGCTGCCCTCGGCTCCTGCCCTGTGCCCCTTGACTGAAGAAGGACCCTGGGCCCTGAGACCTGGCTACAGAGGTGGCAGTGGGTCACAGCCCCACCCTGCAGGGCTTCCTTGTCCACTGGCAGAAGTGGGGTGGGGGGGAGGTGGGTCAGGGGTCTTTCATCCTCCTCGTCAAAAACCACTGGACAATCCCAAGCCAGTGTGGGGCCCCCTCCTGCCTCTGCAGAGCTGCCAGCTGCCGGCCTTCCCAGAGTGCTGCATCTCCTGTCAGGGCTTCTAGCTCCCCCACCCCTGGGGCGGGCCGCCTTTTGTTTTTGTTTGGTTGTTTTGCATGATGGAGGGCTCTCCTGGGTCTGGGCCAGTCCCAGGAGGTGCGAGCAGAACTGGGAAAGGGAGTGGGCGGTGGCTGCGGGCTGGGGAAGTCGGCCCCTGTGGCCTCCGCAGGCCTTTGAGCGGCTCTCTGGTCAAGAGGAGAACCGGCTGGGTTTGTTTTGTCTCTCCCTTGCTTTGTTTGTCTGTGGAGTAGGTGCCGACACAAGGGCCCGCAGGACAGGGCAGAGCTCCCAGAGGCTTTCCAAGGCTGTGCTTCTTGACGGAAGCAGACCGCCTCGGCTTGCGCCTGCAGGGCAGCTGGTGGGTTCAAACCACCCACCTCTCAGCAGCCACGCACTGGGGCACTGCAGCCACAGGCGTCTGTCCAGGTTGAGGAGGAAACCGGTGAACTGTCGGTTAAAATCCACCTCTGGCAACACTGCTGCCAGCGGAGGGCTGCAGCGGAGGGCTGGAACATGTCACTTTATTATTTAAGTGTGTGTGTGTGTGTGTGTGTGTGTGTGCGCGCGCGCGCGCAGAATCGCTGATTTATTAACAGTATTGTATGGGGAGTGGGTTTGGTTTGGTTTGGTTTTTTGTTTTCTCATTTGTCTCCTCTTTTTTTTTTGAAGTCCCCTCATTTCAAACTGCCCCGTGGCCGCCCTCAGCCCAGCTCTGTTGACTGCTGCTGTGCGTGTACATCTGTGTGTGCCTGTGAGTGGCTGCTATGCCTGTGGGGCCTTTGGATGATATGAATTCAAACCACCCCTGCATTTTTGAGACACCCCCAGGAGACAGCCAAACTACCCCCCCTTCCAGGGACAAACCACAGTCTGTTCACAGGCCAGCTTGTCCCCAGCCAGGAGCTGGGCCCTGCATGCTAGAGCAGGCCTGGCGCCATCCTCAGAGGCGCCTGGTGGTCTAACTGCCTGCCCAGGCACCAAGCGGCAGTGCCCAGGAGAGGCAAGCGAGACTGGCTGTGTGAGAACGTGAAGTGTGGGACCCAGATTTGTGGCCAGCCTCCCCACCCTGTGCCTCATTGACACCCACTATCTGGACGAAGTGTGCTGCTGCAGCCGCAGCTATGAGGTGTGTTGGTGGGGTGGGGTGCGGGCTAGGTGGGGGTCATCTTTACAGACCTGATCAAGATCATCCAGTTCCCGGAAGAAAGTTCCATTCACACTGATGGGTGTGGGAGGAAGCCATGTCCAACTGAACCCCAATTCTGAGCAGCATCTCCCTCTCTGGCGGCCCCCCAATCCCACCCCAACTGTCACATTGTAATATACTGCCCCCAACTGACCCACCCAACAGTGGCATCTTCCCGCAGACATTTCAAATGTGTGACTTTTATATGAAAAAAAATAAAACAGAGGAAAGCGCTCCCCTGCCTGGTGAGCCTATTTCCCTGCAAGTACTGTGTGGCCTGCACGGCCCTTGCCTCCCTTGGCGACCTTAGGCAGCAGGGCAGGGGCAGGACTGCTGGTGGCCCGAGAAGGGCAGTGGCCCTGAAGCAGAGGCACAGGAGCCCCGGTGCAGGCAGAGCGGACACCCATCCCCCCCCCAGAGGACCCGAGGCCAGGCAGCTGCACGCTCAGCCAGCACCCAGGAGGCTCAGGTAGGTGTGTGCCTGGACCCAGGAGCGGGCCCCAGTGGCACCCTGCATCGAGGAATAGTCTGCTCCCCAGTGTGCCCAGCTTCAGCCTCGCCTTTGTGTGAAGGCCGGTGAGGGAGAGTGGGCTTCCAGCCACGGGTACTGCTGATTGCTCTCTGTGCCACAGCTGCAACCCAGCCCGCTTAATCCGAAGAGCGTCACACGAGAAGAGAGGGTCTTGACCCCAGAGGAATGGGTCTGAGTTGGATATCCACCCACAGACGTCAGGCCCAGACAGGTCGCACGGGAACAAAGAGATCATTTCAGTCGCACACCAACTCCCTGAGATTAGGAAAGGCAAAACACCTCTCAACTCCACGATTCTGATGTATCAAAACCACACAAGGACAGTACAAGAGAGCCACAGGGCAGGTTTGTTTCTGAATATGGGTCCAAAACTCCATTTTATCAATCCCAAGCCCATTGGATTTAATCTGGGAAATGCAAGGATGGAGGGCTGTTAGTGACTTACTGGTGTTTATGCCATGTGCCACATTGTTCGAGCTCCCCCATGCCTGGTGGTCCTCCTCTTCACGGCACTAGGGAGGGACCCGTGCAATTGTCGTTGTTGGTGCCATCAGGTCGGTCCCCATTCACAGCGACCCTGTGTACAACAGAACAAAGCCCTGCCCAGCCTGCGCATCCCACCACCGTTTCTGTGTCCACGCCCGCTGTTGACTCCATCTCAGCAAAGCCCTTCCTTTCTTTGTCTCAAGCCATTTTATTGAGGGCTCGTAGACTCTTACCACAGTCCACACATGCATCCATTGTGTCAAGCACATTTGTATATTTGTTGCCATCATTTGCAAAGCATTTTCTTTCTGCTTGAGCCCTGGGTATCAGCTCCTCATTCCCCCCTCTCCCGCCCTCCCTGAAGCCCTTCCTCTCATGATGTCCCTTTACCAAGCGGGATGTCCTTCTCCAGTGATGTACTTTGGACACGCACCCTTCTGACCAATGTCCAAAGTACACGAGACCTAACTGCAGCACCCTTGCCTGTAAGAAGCATTCTGGCTGTGCTTTCTCCACGTTGGATTGCTTGGGGTTTTTGGTTTTGTTTTTTGACAGCCCATGATCCTTTAAAAGTTTGTGACCAGCACCACATGCATAGATTCTTCTTCAGTCCCTTAATAGCCAACATCCAAAGGAGGTGATTGAAATACCATGGTGAAAATGAGCTGATTCCGGGAACCCAAGAGGCAAGCGAATTTTGGGAATGATGAGGGCAACAAATGTATAGATGTGCTTTACTCACTTGATCTACGTATTGTGATGTATTTTATGAGGCCCAATAAATTGATTTTAAAAAAAAGAAAGAAAGAAATACCATGGTGTGGGTCAGGTGTGCCTTGGTCCTCAAAAGTGACATCCTTGCTTTCCAACACTTTAAGCGGGTCCTGTGCAGCAGATGGACCCAACGCAGTGCGTTTGAACTCCTGACCGCTGCTTCCAAGCGCAGTGATTGTGGATTCCGGCAAGAGGAAATCCTTGACCACTCCAGTCTTTTCTCAGTTGATCGTGGTGTTATCTATTGTCTGTCAGTTGGTCGGACTGTAATGTCTTGTGTGATACTAGAAGCGGTGTCACTAGTATTTCAGATACCTGCAGCGTCACTCAAAATGAACGGGTTTGGGCAGAGCTTCCAGAGTAAGAGCAGAGGATGAAGGAGCAGGCTGTCGAGTCCTGAGGTACTAGCCACTGGACACCTTACAGGTAGCATCCAAACCTTGTCAGATACTGGAAGCGTGGCCGCTAGATGTATGAAATGTGAAGGTAGATAACACCACGATCAACTGAGAAAAGACTGGAGTGGTCAAGGATTTCCTCTTGCCGGAATCCACAATCACTGCGCGTGGAAGCAGCGGTCATGCCCCCGCCACAGGTCTGAGTGGAGAGAGCCTGCGTAGACTCCAGACTTAAGAGGCATGGGAAATAGACTGTTGGGCAAAGCCTCTGAGATGTCAGGATTTACTTTCCCAACATAGCCTAGTCCCTCCTGAATACACCACGTTGATGGATTAAAGGAAGAAAATAGAGACGTGGTGTGTTTTTTTTTTTTTCCAAAATGCAATACACCTCATTTAAAGAAAACAAAAAGGGAGCTCTTTGTTCATTAGAAATGGACAACATCGTTAATCCAATAGAGATTATCTTTCAACATCCTATGGGTACATGATACAAGAAGACTTCAAAAAGTTTGTGGATAAATGAAATTAATGGAATGTTTCAATGAGCGTTTGAAACCGCCTTGTATTTAATGGTGAAATATTTCAAATATTCCCTTAAAAATCAGAAACCAAGATTCTACCCACCACCATTATATTTATTCATTGTGTATTGGAGCTGCCAGCCAATGCTGTAAGAAAAGAAAATTAACAAAGAGATTAATAAATGTCAGTGTAGCTTCCCATAAAAATCAGAAAAAAATATATTCCAACATACAACCCAAAATAAACGTCATTCTTAAAAGACCATTGATAATAATATCACAGGTCTTAAAGGCATGTGGAATGAATCCAACAAGATATGTGAGACTTAGGGGAAAATATTCTGAGACTTTATTAAAAGGTATCAGAGGAGCTTAATTGAGATTCGTGGATAGGAAGATTCACTTTCTTAAAAATGTCAATTCTCCCCTAGATTATAAATTCAAAGCTATTCCAAAGAAATTTTAAGAAGATTGAATCTGGTCTTTAACAACTTTATTCTAAAATGTATAAGACTGTTCACTCGGGTAATGTCAGATTCTGTCATTCTGGCCAGCCCTTCGGCTAGCGTAGCTGTGAAAGAAAAGGCTGTACAAGATGAAGCTGTTTCAAGTCAGCTGGCAGAAGAGTGAATTACTGAGCCAAGATCTAGAGCAGCAGTTCTAACCTGTGGGTCGTGACCCCTTTGGGGGTCGGATGACCCTTTCACAGGGGTCGCCTGATTCATAGCAGTAGCAAAATGACAGTGATGAAGTAACAACAAAAATAACGTTATGGTTGGGGGGTCAGCACAACGTGAGGAACTGTATGAAAGGGTCGCGACATGAGGAAGGTGGAGAACCACTGATCTAGAGGGAGGTGAGCCTGGTATCTAGGACCACATTTTCCTCAGGAGTACCTTCCAGTTCCAGAATAGGTGGCTAAGAAGCTGAGAGGTGCTTTTGACACATTGATCATTAAAAAAAAACAAACCACAGACCTTGCTGCACTTTGAGCTGGGAGACCCCAACGAGGTACACATAGGGGTGGACTGCAAGTGTACTGGCTCACAGGTCTTCAAATCATCTCCAGCCCTGAAAGTGAATGAAGATGATTCTGGGTCATTAGCACCTGGACACCTGCCAGCTACCTACAGAATCTCTGAAAGAAGCTTCCCCCATCATGGGCCTCCAGTGATTTCTCAAATTTGCCATCCGTGAACACCAACCAGGGACTCAGGGAGACAAGAAATGTGAGCAGCAAAAACACAGAGCAGAAAAAAAGAACGATGGCAAATACAGCCCACTCCCCCCCAAAAAAGCACAGTTACTTAATGGTAAATACCAAAAAGGGTGAACTTTAAGGCTAAATATCTAACTCAAAGGGACATCTGGAATATTTTCCTACTCCATTGGTATTAACATATACCCTAAACCAGGGGTCCTCAAACTTTTTAAATGGGGCCAGTTCACTGTCCCTCAGACCGTTGGAGGGCTGGGCTATAGTTTTTAAAAAAACTGAACAAATTCCTATGTGCACTGGCTGCTAAGCAGGACAGGCAGCGGCAGCAAAAACACCAGTGGGCCGGATAAATGTCCTCGGCAGGCCACATGTGGCCCTCGGGCTGTGGTTTGAGGACCCCTGCCCTAAACCATAGCAAGTTTCACGGGAGTGAAAACTACCTTAAAGTATTAGCTAGCCATATTTTGAAAGGTTAACCCAGCATGATCAAAATGGGTTTCTGCCAGGAGTGAAAAGTTATTTTAACACTTGAAAATCGACATAGATGACCACATTCACAGAATAATTTCTAGAATGTTCTCAATACATACATGAAAATTTTCTGATTCAATTCAATAT